TGTTGGAAAGGGTGTTGGGTGGATCGTCGGGTGTGAAGGCATCGGGCAGAGGCGTCGAGGATATGGCAGCCTGGGGGTTGTTGGATACCTCGCGGCTGTAGACATAGATCTCTTTCTGTGGAGAAACATGTTAGCTGTATCCGCACCATGTCAGTGCAGAAGACATACTTCAGTGAGTAACGCTTGCAGCTTCACATGCTTGCCGCCGGGGGTGAGTAATATCTGCGACTCGGGCGGTATCTCTGAAGCTCTTGAGATCCAGTGCTTCAGCGCATCGACGGAACTGAATGCGACAGGATCAGCGTCGAGGCGCTGGCCCGTATGAGCCACAGCAATCTGCAGCGACATGCGGACTTGCCCTCCCGCTGTGGTTAGAGTGTCTGAATCTATATGAGCTTTGCGAGAGTGAGAGGAGCTGTATCTCGAGGCGTGAGCATTGGGTACAATATCCGCCAAGCCGCCATAATGCAGGGATCCAGCGCACGGGGCACTCGACTTGCATCATGGTGGACCATCAACAGTCAGCTGTACAGTCGCGTGTCGAACGAGTTTGATCCATCGAGATCAAAATGGCCGCCAGAGACGATGTCGACATGGCTGACGCGACGGCGAAAGCCCTGGATGCAGGCGACTACGCAGACTTGCTCCAAACAAATCACAGCGACGCGTTCGCCTTCTCCCAAACGGAGCAGCTAGCGCTGCATCTGTACGATCAGTTGCGGGAACTTGAACTTGAGCAGAGCCTCATTCAGGCACAGCAATCAGGTATGCACAAATCGGCTGCACCCGACTCACTCATTGATTGTCCCAGCACATGTGACCGACCTCTCGGCCGTCTCAGATGACGAGCTACAAGGCCAGCTGACCATCGCCCAACGCGAGGTTATGGACGCCAAAGCCGAGTATGAGATTCGTAACCGTGTAGATCTCAACGCACTCGTGATGGATCCAGTATTGAAAGCTGTGCATGGCGGAGAGCGAACTGGATTTGCTGAAAAGTATGATTAGTGCTGCCGGGTTGTTGCTGTTCTAACAACAGCAGGCGCATATTTCCTATGATTGCAGAAAACGACACAATTTCTATGATACACGGTTCGGTGTCATCAAAGCTAGTGTCAACCCAACGCGCCATCAGCACCGCAGCACAGGCAAACATCATTGCAAGCCGCAAGAACCGGGAGCTGTCTGCGACAATGCTTGATCTGGCTGAACAAATGAAGGCCCAAACCGCCAATGATATCGAAGATCCACGTCTGCGCGCAAAGGTCAGTGCGGTAGAGAAAGAACTCAAGGACTCAAGGAGGAAGACGAAGACGCTCAAGGGTGTCCTTTCAGCCATGATAGTTGGTAGCGGAATCAACTGGGCGGCAGACGAAACGTTGACGGAGCTGGTAATGGACGATGAGGAGGAGGGGTGAAATGACGAAGACGTAACAGAATGAGCCATTCAGCTACAGCACGCCGAAAAAGGAGTATCTCATCTTCGGTATGCTGCGCACTTCAGGCTTGGATAGTAGCAGAGCACGCGCTTGTGCCTACCTGTCCAGCTCTAGAAAACCTAGTACACAGCTCGAGGTGACCTGACGCGCTCGGACCAAGCTGCGGTGGACGATTGTGAACAGAGTAGTGAGCCTCAGCGCTGTCGGGTTCTGCTACCTCGATTAGCACATACGACGGAGAACTGTACAGAGATTCTAGAACACGACTGAATCAGGAAGATCGTCTAATTTGTTGCATAGTAGCGTGGAAACGACAGTACGTCCTGCAGTTCGCGCAAGTATATAATGAAGTACCTGTCGGGCTCCAGGAACGCCCTTCACATTACATCATAGGTAGCCACCTGTGATATTGTTCTCCGCATGCGCTTGGTGTGGATATGGTCTTGGAAACGGAGGAGCATCCCTTGGAGAGGATCGATAAATGCAGCAATGCTCCCATGGTGCTGCTCAAATTTAATCAATTACAAGATTCAACATTGCAGACGTTTCGCGAAGAAGTTTGACTGCAATAGCACTGAAGAGTTGCGTGGCTGAGAGTGTTGTTGCACGCTGCTACCCTTGTACGACTCGGTTGGTCACGGAACGTCATAGGGTTCCCGCAGCGGTGGCTCTCGGCGCATTTATAATCCCGACTCTGTATGCGCTCTGCGTATTCAAGGTCCTGACATCAACGACTGCTGTACATGGTCGTATACAGACGCGCTGATATATAATGTTTTACCGACTCCAGGAGTGTCGGGTCGGCAGGCAGGCCTTTACCAGGTATTCTGGGCAGTCGGCGTAAGCTCACACACCAGATCTCATGCCTCAGCGCAAGTTTGGGGGAACACGCCCTGCGTCTTCTGCCGTGTTTACAATTTCAATTGACGCAGTTGTGCTGTTATGTATATCTCACCACCAAAAGAACCACGATTCCATGACGCTCCCTGCAACAAGCCTGAAGCGATTATGTGCTCTGTGCCATTTCCGGTCTGGGTCTCTGGCGACAGAGCTCCGTCGCTAAATGCGGACTTGTTGACCGCTGCACAACTCGCTTGTAGAGTGGAAGGACAAGAGCGTCGCAAAGAGGATGCCCTGACCGGCGATGCGAGAGGCTGGCATCCGGCCCAGATTCCGGTAGCTTGGAGATGACGGCCAGAAGGGCTTCTGCTGCAACCCCCCTCAAGGCAGCGCAGTGCGCAACCGGCGGATGCGATGTGCCAGAGCAACATCAGCCAGCCAGCCAGCTGCGGGATTAAGATAACGCTCAAGAGCCGACCTCTGCATAACCAGCGAATGGTGCAGCATTGTCTCCTGCGTGCAATCTAACCACATGAAACAGGCCAGACAGGAATGAAGGCAAGCAGCGCCTCGCGTCGCCGTGGCCCTGGGGGCGCCGCATGTTCCGCGAGTGCTGGCGAGCAGAGCAGAGCAGGCAGACGGCAAGACTGTCGTGGAGATGCACAACAAGACAACGTGGGCAGTACACGTCCAGTAGAGCCCAGGGCCACTCAGCTCGACTGGACTATGGCCATTATGTCCGTGTTTGCGGTGGGAGAGGGGCCATTCGCGCTTGGAGCATGGAGCAAGTGCAAGTGCGAGTGCGGCCGCCCAAAACAAGCGGGCGGGAGCTTTAGTAAGGGTCACGTGGCCCAGCGGCTTTGTTAGGGGTCTCTCGTGCCTGCCCGCACACAAACAGCGCCCGCCCGCGAGTTCCTCTCTCTCTTACTACGCCCATACAAATCGTCCTCACCAAAACTTCGAGTGGTAAGTCCTCGGTTGCATATCACCAAGTCGCATCACTGCACAGTAATACGCGACACCACCACACTTTCTTGCACGCTTTTTCCCGCTGCAAATCGCCCTTCTTCGCCCTTCCCCGCCTTGAAGTCTCCGTTTTACGAGCGTCATCGCGTTCCGATTCCTGTTCATCACGTCGCCATCCTCTGCTGCCAGGCGCAATCTGACCGCAAAACAGACCTCCATCAACCACTTCATTTTCTTCCGAATCCAAATCTTCTGTAAGTTCCTGCACCTTCTCTTCTCCCAAATTCGCGCTGCAACGCGTCGCATCGTGGTGTTTTGCCATCGCGTCACCCCAGCGCGCATAGCAAAGCAGTCGCACCACCTGCACTCACGTACTCGCAACATCCGTGCAGGAAGGTCTCACAAGCACCACGCGCCTGCGCAATCACTTGCGCGCCTCTTCAACCTCCCCTCTTTGCTCATCTCTAGACTGTCAACTTGCACATTCTGATCAGCTACTGACGGTTTCAACCCAGTTCCAACCAAACTTCAACAACATCATGCCTAAGGAGAAGGTAACCCGCGGCAAGGGCAAGGCCGCCAAGGCCGACGGTGGAAAGAAGAAGAAGGGTATGTTGTTCACGTTCGCCGTGCCTGTTCTCATCTCTAACCATTTACCAGACCCCAACGCGCCCAAGCGTGGTCTCTCAGCCTACATGTTCTTCGCCAACGAGCAGCGCGACAAGGTCCGTGAGGACAACCCCGGTATCAAGTTCGGTAAGTTTACGTCCTTTCCTTGACTTGAAATTGCAAGTACTAATCACGTGCAGGTGAGGTTGGCAAGCAGCTCGGTGAGAAGTGGAAGGCTCTCTCGGAGAAGCAGCGTATCCCCTACGAGGCCAAGGCCTCTGCCGACAAGAAGCGTTATGAGGAGGAGAAGGCCGCTTACCAGGTACGCTCTTTGTCTACGACTCTTGCTCGACAAACAAAACTGACCATGACAGGCCGGCGAGGAAGAAGAGGAGGAGTCCGAGTAGATGTGGTCTATTCACTCCATCATCTCAAGCTTCGGCAATCACGGTGGCATCCTAGCACATCGTCGGATGGGTTTTCTATGTCACCTTTGCGTTTTTAATATGGGTTATCTGGTGCGAGCGTATCGAGCAGGGTCCGTAATTTTTCTTTCCATCGGTTACATTGCGGCTCGGGCTCTTGTGCGCGGTTATCAATCACACGGCGGACATGGCTTCTCACACTCTTCATGATGTTTATCATTGGCGTCCCTTGCTCTGACGTGGAAGGAACATCACGAAGCTCATGACTCCAAGTCTATGTACACTAGTCATCTGCGGTATGAAAATGCTTTGCTACTATCCCAATCCTCTCGCTCCTGGTGATGAAGGCGCTGGCATGTCTCACCTTCTTGGAAGCTGGATTATGTTGAGGTGCTGTCATATCATCACCTACTCTGGCGGTATCGCACATCCTCTCCAGATACTCAGATAACGGTACGTATATGATCTCTCTTCAGCAATAAATAGAACTTCAAGTCGTCCCCTGAACCTGTACAGGTCATATTCTCGCTCAACCCACTCATCACGGCAACCCGCATACAAACAAACGCATGTTCCCGACACCACCTATCCCGTCTCGTCAAACGATTAGACCTCTTGTCACAATATTTCATCTCTCGCAGGCTTTGCTAAATTGAATGATACTAGTCACCTACATATACGGCAATATCCAATCGTCTCCCATGTAGTAAGCTCATATAAAGCGTCATTGGCCCAGTGGTTAGGGTACCGCCTTCCCATCCCTTTGGAAGTAGGCGGGGATCGGGAGTTCGAACCTCTCATGGCGCAGTGCTTGCATGCTCTCTTTGTTTTTGCTCCACTTTTGGTGGTGCGTGGTGAGATGGCAGTCTGGCGTCATGCATGGGGTATGCGTTGGTGGTGCTTCGTCATGGTGTTCGACCGTGGCTCGTCACTTTTCGGATCACCATTGAAGACTGGGAAGCTGGGATTGTCAATCTAGAGGTGATTGTATGTAATGTGAAAGTAGGATGAGGGTATGCTTATTTATTCCTGGTCAAACCGTAAAGATGACCATACCTGACTGAGGAATCGAGAACGCCTTGGTATCATGTGATATATTCCTCCGAATGCTAAAACCCAATAGACGAACTCCCACTCGTCTTGGTGTATGAAACAGCCTCACTGCTTCCACATATGTCTTTTGATGACATTGCAAACAACATACACATTTACTCTCTTTGAAGCACCACCATCACACCCATCAACCCCAGCATGACCTGCTTAAGCCACGGATATTCGCTCAACAGAATCGTGACATATCCAACGAAGGGAATGAATCCAACCACGCTCCCTACAACATCTTCTTTGCGGTTGAGGAACGACTGGCCGGTGGCATAGAGTTCGGTATCGTCCGCGACGTTGTTGTCACCTTTTGTGAGGAGGCGGAGGGGAGTTTTGCTAGACTCAGGTCAGCTTCTACTCCGCAAACAGGCTGTAACAATCGCGCTGCCATGTCCCAAGTCAAGCTCGCGACTTTCCTCAAGCTCAGCTAAATGAATAAAAGGTAGACTCACCCTCCTCCATATCTCCGCACCACGCGATGCACGATCGGAATGTCCTTGCCCTTCACGTTGTATACCACAATCTCGCCAATCTGTGTGTCCAGCCCTCGATTCCACAAGAACAGCAGGTCTCCGCGTTGGAACGCGGGCTCCATGGATCCTGACAGCACGACGACGATGGGTGAGGGCGAATCGGAGACAACGGAGATGCCTTTCCAGAGCATGAAGGCGGTGGAGAGGACGAGCGCGAAGTTGAGGACTTGGGCGGCGAGTTGCCGGGGCTGCATCGCTGAGAGACCGAGCATGGCTGCGAATGTGATGTGGATGGGGATGTGAGGTCGTGGATTTTGTGTCGTGAAAAGTGCCGTCGCAGGCTTGCAAGTATCCTGGTGACCAGAGAGCTGTGTGCGCCGGATTCTGACCGCCGAATTTATGGAGTGTCGTGTTTGGGATGTATCGTGGTAGCAGCTTTGGTGGTGAGCTTGTTGCCAGATGTCCTTCGATTCGCTGATTGGGTTGCGCTCGAGGCTTATGTAATCCACCTCCGAGCTCAACTCCGCATCTTGCATCGATGCCACCGCAATGCTCCAACCACGCTCGTCCACATCCTGTGAAATTCCAGCCATCAATGTCTCGTGGGGATGGCACCACATTAAATTTACATTTAGAACCCAAATTTGATCTTTCTGCGCTACGTGAGCAAATTTGGACGTCTCCAACGCCTCGTCGCCCGCTCTCACCTGCTTTCCCATGCTGCCAGGCTCACCTTCACCTGGAGATGGCTCCGGATCTGAGCTTGCTTGCGAGCAATGTATCGCCTCTGTGTTCTAGATTATATATACGTGATGGCTGCCTTTCAGCCCACTCCTCCATTCAATGCGAATACACTATCCCGAATGCCAATTGTCTTTTGCGCCTTGAACGCTGCCTCAGTGGATCACGATCAAGTGTAAAGCACCCACAGTTTACATCTTCTGAGTCAAAAATTACTTGAACCCTGTTTACAACTGAACGCCGTACATACAGATGGCGCTCACCCAACCAGGCACTTACGTTCTGTATCGCGAGCGTGGAGGCGAACAAGCAGCTTGGCCGGGCATAACGGTCCCTGACGACGTTGCGCCTCAGCACATTCGACGTGGGCGCCCATCGGGGTATATGACGTTGACGCTGTTGTTTGGCGCTACATATCAATTGTAAGTATTGTGGTGGGGACTCGGTGTACGTTACTAAGCATGCAACGTAGCCGGTGGGCGACAATATCTCAATTGTCTCCGTTCGTCCCGGTGGCAGACAATACGCAGCACGCTCTCCCAGATAAAATACGCCAAGCATTCATGACGGCAGATTTTGGTCTCGAAGCAGGTCTCGATGTAGAGTATTGGAGAGACCTAGTCACAGATCAGATCAATCACGAGAAGATGCTCGATGCAGGAGTGAAATTCGACTCTGAGAGGATCGACCTCGAATCTCTCGAAGACGACCAGGATGAAGAGTTGCGTGCGGCCCTGCGAATCTCCCACGAGCAGTTCTTTGGAAAGAAATCTGCCCTATTCCCAACGCCGTCATGTTCCCCACCAGCACAGTACAAGCGGAAGCGAAACCGTCCAGAGCGCATCATACTTCCTGACGAAGATACGGATGACGATCACAACAGTTTGTACTCATATCCTTATCCTACTCCTCCAAAAAAGAAGCCTGCTACAGCTCACCAATACGGTAGCCCTCCGCATTCGGGGAACAGCTTTGGCCAATCTGGATCCGCGACAAGCAACAAGAACTCTCGATATCTTCCCGAGGGTCCGATCAACTTTGACCAATTGCTTCGACAAGGACAGAACTCTGCTGCTCCGACAAGTGACGAAATAGAGGGAGACATGTGAGTATAAACAATGCTTGCATTTGGCTGTATTGACTTCTAGCAGATCTGAAAGCAAAGAATCTGTCAGGATCGCAGTAGGCCCCGACCGTGAAATTCGCACGCTCCTGAAGAACCACGTTTGGAACAGGCCTTATTTCCGAGAACCCAGAAGCGGCTTGAATCACTTCACGCTCAAGGATGACAATATATGGGAACTCAATCATCCTGAACTCGCCAAGCTCGATCTGGCTGATTTTCAGTTCCTTGCCGAGTATTTGGCGGAGGGTGAGTTTGGCTTGCGATATCCCGAAGGCCCCGAACAGACCAAGGAAGTCATCGCACAGTGCGTTTCTACTTGGGAAATGGGCGACAAACTCGGCATGTACGACCTTCTGGAGCATATTGTTGAGAAAGTGCAGTACTTCGAGTGGGATAATACAGATGTCTTGATCTTCGCCGTGATTGTGTACAGAACTCCAGATCAACCGACTCCCGCTCACGAGAGCATGAGGGATTGGCTATCTGGCTATCTCGCTCAGCACTTCTGGACATATATCAGAGATGACACAATAGGTCCTTTGTTCCGACAAAGGCTCAAGGCCATACCGGACCTGGAGCGGCAGGTGTTCGAGAAGAGGACAGCGATGTTGGTTTCGGGCGCCGAGCTGGACGAGGATGGAGAAAGTGATGGGGACGGGCTGTGATACTGGTCTTTGGACGGCGAAAAACAGGGTTTGCTGTGCTTATACTGGACGAAGCATGAGGAATGTGCAGTGATGTTGCGACATCTTTATTTGCTGCCTGCGAACTACAGTCTCCTTGGTACATAACTTGAGAACAGTTAAGTATGATGTGCGATATGGGGGAATATATCGGCAACATGTGGAACATGTCAATTGAGATCTTTATACATATTGATATGCTAGACTACCATAAGCCATGGATCTGCGATACTCTCTGTGTCGGCTCAAACACCTCGTTACTATCCACCGTATTTGTCCTTGACACACTACCACTATCCCTGAACGTGGGGAACACAGAGGCATCGTGGTCTGCACTCGCATCCCACCCTAGTGTCTCCTCTTTCTCATAGTCCAGCGGGGCCCATGCAGAGTCTTCTTCATCTCCTTGCCGTCGAGCGTCCTCTAGATCTGGCACAAAGAGACTATCAGACTCTTGATGGGCGGAATTTTGTCGGGATACGGGCCTGCCTAAGCGTGCTGACCGGTCGCGTCGTGATGCGGGCTCAATCGGCGGCGGCATGTCAGACCGCATGCTCCGGGTATCTGTCCTCTCTGTCGTGGCTGAAGCCGCTCGTGAGGCTTGACGACTACTGAGTGTCTGAGGTGCGGGAGTCGGGGTTGGCGGTGCAGCGTTGTAATTTCCGGATGTCATGAGGGTGAACTCGCAAAGTAACCCATCGCATCCGTAGCTGAACTGAAGAGGCCGCGTTGGCTGTGAGTAGTATGCTTTGAGGCTCGTCTTTAGCGTGTCAGCATGGAGGACGATGGACTTGAAGTCCTTGACGTTGATGATGATGTGCAGCCCAGGCTCAACTTTGAAGTCTTCGAAGTCTGAAGTGTTCACCGCAACCGCTGTGACGAGCGGATGCTTCAGAATCTCCTTGCCATTTGTGATCTTCTCGGTATAGCTCTTGAACACACATCGTCCATCCTCTCCAGCAAATATGTCGAGCATCTCGGTCTTAGTGCCAAAGTACTCGATGTACTCTTTGACAGCACCCGAATGCAAGATCCATCTGTTCTTGGCAACGTTGCGATCGAAGAGTGCGTGCATGACATCAACAGCCTCATAGGTGAGCTTGTATGTCTTGATCACGCCCTGGTTGCACACCATCTTCACAATGAACCGGCATTGAGCTTCGTTGTCTCGCTCTTGTACGCTGACTTCGCATCGATCAATAGCGCCATCTCGTCCTAACGGGTCATAGAGACGACCCTTGAAGACCGAGAGTAGAGCTTTCGTGTACATGCTGCACGTGAAGCGGCCATCGGGCCCGCCGTGGCTTGGTATGCATTCATAGTCTGAAAAGAACTGTCTGCCATCCAGCGTGACAGCGCAATATGCGGACTTGGATGTGTTGAGAGCAGTGAAAGTGAACTATTTTGACAATGATAAGATGACTGATAGCGGACGGAAGAAGGAACGCTCACCTACTTTCTCGCGTTTTGCTTCAATGGCGACTGTGTCGCTGAACTTGCCAAGGCATATCAGCAGATCGTGAACCTTGGCGGCGGCCTCGGGCGTGAGAGTAAAATTCAACACAACCATTGTCGATCGTCACGATGCATCGCCTAGTGGTATGACGCCTGGGTGATGTTCGTGTAGGATGAAGACGAATGCGGCAATAGCGCCGTACTAGCGCGCCTTTGACGCGTCGACGT